AAGTTTGTGTATGCTTTATGATACCTAATAGTGATTTTCACTACATATTATTTAGTTTTAATAATTAAAATATGTTACAATTGAAATTTAATAAGAAATTTAAACCTATTGTCTAAAATTTCCATTTTAATTTATACTTTAAATTAAATTACTATTTTAAATTTACTCATTTACAACAATTCGTGCGAAATGTTAAAATTTTAATAGTAATAAAAAATGCAGTACGTACTGATTTAAAATTATAAACACATTAATTAAAGATGATCTTTCAGTATAATCTAATTTTATCAAAATTTTGCGTAATTAATTTCAACATTTAAATTCTAAATTTAAAAATTAAAGTGTTGAAATTTATTACACAAAATAATCTATTTAATTCTTTCATTTAGGCCTATAACATAAAATCAAAAAATAATTATGCAACTTAATAGTTTTTTTATAATTAATAATTTGTAAATGTTATAGAAGTTTTAAGTATTGATAAATAGCTTTGTAAATAACACCGGAAAACAAAGCTGTAAAATTAGATAAAAACGTATCAAGTTATTAATAATAGAAATACCATAATTAGACGTAAAATGTATTATTTACATGAGCTGTCCATAAATTATGTAACGTAAATATGAGTAGGAGAGTATACAAGCAATCGTCACGATGCAGTACAAGGGGTGCGGGGTGTTTACGAAAACGTTACATAGACTGGTGTGTTATTTGTTAAATACAGTATGCAAAGATTAAGCTACTGGTAGTTTTTTTCCGCCAAACGGCGACAACCTCTCAGATTTGACTATAACTTTTGTCGTCTGATTTATCAAGGAAAAAACCCCATGAAAATAAACTTATTTTAAATTTAAAATAAAATACATTTGTAATTTTATAAAATAAAAAGACTAAATTAATAATTAAAATTTAACATTTTATTCCTTATCTATTATCAACAGTCACACAATGCCTATAATTCTTTAATACAATTAGGCCTAAGTGAGATGGTTACGCTTAATGCATTACGTAATTTCGGGGTCTGTACTTTGCTACAGTGTCAGCGAGCATTTAAGGGTGTGGGATAGTAGTTAAAAAGTAAATAAAAATAACTTTAAGCAATTTATGGACGATCCCACATTTAAGTGAAAATAAATAATCTTTCCAGACTCTGGAAAGGTATAAATAAAATTTTCTATATGATAAACGTGCAGTTTGTCATATAGAAAATTTTATTTATATCGAGAATTTTTTAGTTTTGAAAATCAAATGCACTTAAAATCCATAACATAAAGCAATAATATAAAAACGATAAAAGTATTTTTTTCCACAAATGCATAAAACTAAACAATAATGTCAAATAATTTTTTTAACATTTCTTTTCAATTAAGTTCATTGATATTGATTCGTTTGAATATTGAATTAATTACTATCATAATAATTAAAATTACTTGAAGAAGACACTCTTAAGTTGTTTATTATATACTTCAATCTAAATTAAAAACCCAGTTTTTAGAAAGATTTGAACTGAATGTATGAGTTTTTTTATCTAAGTATTGCAATATGACTTTATTATTATTATTAAATATATATATATGTACACTATTATTACTTTCATTATTACCATTATATCTGGATAACTGGTTTTGTATAACCCCGTTCTAGAAAGCCTTGAACAAATTAACTGACCCGATAAATATAGAACGGGTAGGAATTGAAGTAAATGACGAAATATGACGTCATTCTTGGCAAGACTCAACATTACCACTACATAATTTTTCTTGATCTAAATTTAAATCTTATATAAGATAAAAACATTTTGTTTAAAATCTATTTTAATAAGTTGATTTTATAAATGACTGTTCTTTGCATGATTACTTCGTGAACAAGTGGCTCAACGATGACGCACATGGATCATTGGTTTAATTACGAAAACTTTACACTATCAATCACTATCTCGTTATTACTATAAATACTTTATTTTTAGTTACAGTTTATTTGATTTAATTACAAAACATATATACATTCATTTTTACTTGAAAAATATTTTATTTAAGACACGATTCGAGTTTATTTCAATTATTTATATTCTTCAATTGAAGACACTTATCATAAAATCGAAAAAAATTTTTAAACAGAAATCCTTGGAAACTTATGTTTTGTGAATGCAAATGGCTTTTAACATTAAAATATACTGTATTATATATTTCTAGTCCTTCGAGAAAATAAAAATTTGCTGTAAGCTCTTGAAATTTTTACATTAAAATCCTGTTAAAATTCAGAAGTAGAGGAGCGAGTTTATATATAAAATTTTAATATGACATACATAGATCTTTAAAATAGATAAATTTAATGATTCAAACAAAATAATTTGCTTTACATTTAAATAAATTCGATATAATATGATTGAAATTATGAAACTTATTATAAATGAATTATTCTAGTTTATAAAATATAAGTGATAAGTAATATCAGTCATATGCATCTACAATTTCTCAATTAAAAAATTTATCTGGTTACGGGTCAACAATTTTTTTACAAAAACTATTGCAATTTTTTGCTTGATGTAAAATATCCATTATTGTATTTATAATAGTAAGTAAAAAGAAATATTTATAGGTTATCAAAAGAAATAATCAAAATTCTATGAATAATTATTTATTTTATTAATTTTATACTAAACAAAAATTATTTTAAAAAATAATTAATTAATTAATGATTGAGATATATTGCAACATTAAAATAATTTTAAAAATTCGAAAATAACGTATTAGGAAAAAAAAACTTAAGTTTAATTAAACTTTCACGAAAATTCTATTTTAAAATGAAATAAAGATTATAATGAAAATATTATTTTGTATTATATACAAAAACAAATGATTTAACTTGTTATAGAATTCGATTTTTATCATTTAGATCATATTGAAGATAGATATCCTCAATATATTTTCTTTCAGTACAAATTTTTTTCTTTATATGAGAAAAAGTAATGCAAATTTACAATTCAAGAGCATTCGGAATAACTGAATTTAAGTTAAATTGTTTACTAACCAATTGTATAAATTTAAAAATTACATTAAATTAATAACAATAATGCACTAACAGCTCGCAAATGCCTGATAAAACTGTTGTTTTTAGTAGCTGTGCCTTGATTTTGGTTACGCAAAATAACAGATTTAGAAATACATAGAGGGGAGATGCAGAAAGGCCTTACGAAAATTTTTAGTACCTGAGATACTCTGCTTTACTCTGAAATCTCTCAGATGGTAGATGTTAAGCCCTGCGCATTCCCCTAAATCCACCCCTGTTAGGCATAACACTTGGCACTAATATCCAATGAGTTAGGCCTATTAGACAGGTGCAACGGATGCACGGGCACGAGACCCAAGACAAAAGGGCCCTCGAAATGAGGTACCAAAAAACTTATCAGTATTATATTTTCATTTTTTAATTTTGCCACCATGGGGGCTGATTTCGTAAAGTTTTTTGTTAAAAATTAAGAAAAATGTAAAGTTGAAAATTAACTGGCCATTTCTATCGTATTTTTTAAATTTCTTTTTTATTTTTTCCAAAAAAGAGAAGTCAAAATAAAATCTTTTATAGAGGACACACGAAAAGCTAGTTACTGCTAACATCGACCGAATTTAATAATAATTCAATTAACTTTTTTATAAATTCAAAACATTTCCTTTATTAAAATAATTTTCAATTAAAAAGCTTCTACATAAATGATAATACGACGTTCAAACGTATTAGAGTTCTGTATTAGAATATATTAATATTTAAATTAAGATTCATGAAATCATTAAAACTTTACTATCCTAATCAAATTATACAAAAGAATATGAGTGTAAATTTCACTTTAAACTAAGCAATTCTGATATTTAACGTTCAAATATAGATATTAATTATTAAACTAGAATTAGAATATTTAAAAATTAAATAGATCAAACACTTATAATGGCTTAATTAATTTAAAATCATCGATTAATTAATGAATTATAAATAGAATGATTAAACAATTAGTTTAAAAAAAAATTGGAATTTTAGAAAAATAAAGAATTTTATTCAAATAATAATAATTTTTCATTTAAATTAATACAGTATAAATACGTGCAACTAACTACAGTTTTAAGTTTCTTTTATGTAACTGATGTGAATGACATAAGCTAATGAACGAGCCACACACTAGCCAACTATTAATGCACATGTAGTGAAAACATTTCGGGGAATCCGTACACTGTAATATCGAATATTTAAAATCAATATGAAAATAAATATTTTAAAAATAACTTCTGCGTTACTATTAACGAAACTAATCTATCAATGAAAATGATAAATAAATAAACGAATAAATAATTATTATAGGAAAATATTCGAAAAAGTTATGCATATTTTAATAATTGTGTTCATGTTCCAGTAAAAGTTCTATGAACCAGATAGAAAAAGGAACAAAGAAGGATGTTAATTATACTGTTCGCGGAAAATATTCAAGAAAACTACCTGTACACTATCGTTTATGCATCTTAAAATACTCCAATCTCCATTTATTTTTATATACGATGGTTTATAATTTTTTAAAAAGTAAATATTGGCAATAATCTCTATTATAAAGTCTAAGCTGAGAAATATTAATTATATACGTAAATATATATTTATTCTTAAAATACCGCGACATCCAATAACTCGAATAATAAAGAATTACTTTCAAATTTTAGATTTAAAACATCGCTTTAAAATATTCTGTCGTTTAATTATTATTTAAAAAAAAAACAAAAACAGATAAAATAAAAAGAAACATTTAAGCCATTCGCTAGCCACGACGATAATGACCTTTTTGAGGTCACGTGATAATAAATATATTATTAATTTATCATATTTATTGTCGTTTCCAAGTTTTTGAGACTAAAAGTACGAGTTTTAAATTATATTTGATAATAATCTACGAATAAATGATTATATTATACGAATATTTGGAAGAATAAAATTGATCGTCTATTGGTTACGTGTCACGAATCACGCCTCTCTCACTAATCGTTCACGTGATCGCTCGACGCATGTCGGGAAAGAACGAATTTAAGAAGAAAAGGTCGTCGTTTCGTGTATAACGAAAGGGTTTGTTTCTGGAATGGCTTTAAGTTATTCAATTGTATTACAGTTTTGCCAGAAAAGACGACGTTTCTTTTGTATTATCCGTGGTAGTTGAAGAAATTTATTTATTATTTACCCGTAAATTTTATTCACTAATAAATGGATCCCGTTAGAAGCGCATTGGTTCGCAATTTGAAAGAACTTTTCGGCGAAAAAGCAAGATATGGATTGTGTATTAATCAGTGTTTGTCTTATGTACATAACGGGCCCGAATACAGCCATCAGAGAGAAAAACTCCGCACCGTTCAGTCGTTTTATAACCAATCTGCCATTGATGTTGCCGCTGCAAAAGTGAGTGACGGCTTCTTATTATTTAGCATCGAGCTTTTCTCATTTTTTTTTTCATTCATTCGCTTTATTAAATAACCTATTTGCTTCGCATTCTATGAATATTCTTCTTCTTTTCTAAGTAAAATTGCATAAATAATCTTTCATATTTAAAGATGCTTTTTTCATATTCTTATGGTGGTTAAAATACACAAGTTTATCAATATAATTTTCTTCTTCTTACATCAAAAATTTAAAAAAAAGGGGTTTAATTTACCTGTTTTGTTATATTAACTGTTGGAGCAAAATGTGTTTAGTGATGATGAAAAGTATTTTATTGTTTATATTCTCTTAATTAATTAATGCAGGTAATTTATCAAAGATATATTTTCTGGATGTTATGATAAAGAAAAAACTTTTAATGATTAGGAAATGAAAGTAAAATAAAATAATGGGATATTTTTGTTTGGTTTTCCTCTAATTGCGTTAATTTCAAAATGTTGAAAATAAAACATAAATATCACTTCTGGAAAACATTTATGCTTAATTCTAAAAGCTTAAATAATCGGTTGGTTTGGGAAATTATTTAAACTTGTTTTGTAATGGATGTGTGGAATAATATTAAACTTTACACGTAATTTGTTCCGGCTTAGAAAATCTATTAGATGAGCCGGAAAACTGGTATTCTCTACTTGTGGTTGTTCGTTGGGAAAATATCTTAAATAATCAAATTTGTCAAATAAAAAATGAAGTATTTGAGATATCTTAAACATATTTCAGAAAAGAATGCATAATTCTTTTCTGATATCTTAAAAAAATATGTATAACAATACAAGAAGTGTGATTTATGAGATTTATGTATGTGATAATATATCTCACATATATTTATATGTGAGATATATTATCACACATACATAAATTTCATAAATCACACACTTCTTGTATTGTTTGAGAAACCAACTCAAAATTCAATTCTGTTTTTTGTTATATGATTTATTATATATATTTAGATGTAAGCAAGCTACACAAAAATACATATTGCTAAGCTCTAATTTTAAAATGAGTTTATTTTTATTAGTGATTTGTTATAAATTCAAATTTTGGTATGTGACATAAAAATAAATTTAGTAAGATTGTGTATGTTGTATCTACACAATCTTACTGTGGCACACAGTATGTATGTACCAAATTTGAAATTAATAATAGTGACTAATAAAAATAAAAAATAAACTCTTAAACACTTAAAAATTTTAAGTATAAAATAATAATTGAATAGAATATTTATTTATATTAAGTAATTATATATTTTCATTAAAATAAATGGTAACTTAAAAAAAATATGTTAAATACTGAATTGAAATAGATTGTAAACAAAATTAATTCATTTAGGATCATTTAAAATAATAAATTCATAACAGTTTATTTTTCAGTTTATAAACCAAAAAACAATAAAAATAATTTAAAATCTGGTGTAAATTATTGTAGTGTGATAACTTTAATATTTTCAGAGTTTATCTTTTTGATGAACTGAGTTATGAATTCATGAATCATGGCTGCATAATACACAAATACCTTATCTATAACAACTACTTGAGTTTGTTTTTCTTTAACCAGACTTTCTCCATAATGTTTTCTAGTTGAACATCATCATATTTCTAAAAAGAATACAAATATTGTTGAAAGTTTAAAATTACTTTGATCACACTAATGCAATTTAGGAAATGTACTTTGTATTTTTAGTGAATATTATCACAGATAAAAACATTTCAGGAAATTGTACCACTAATAAAAATACTGACACACTAATATAATTAACTTCAACAAATGAGAATGATATTCTGAAATACCACAATAAATTCTTATAAAATACTGTGCAGTTTTATTATTAGTTTGGTCTGTTTTTTATTAAACAATTACTAACTTAAGTTAGTGATAGTGATTCGTCAGTAATTCATTTTCTTGACATAATTAAATATGAAACAAATATATCAATTGGTATGTCAATGAAATGCATTATTAAAATGTGACATGTTCAATTTAGTCACATGGAAGATAAAATAGATACATAAATCCATGAACAGAAGATATTTTATTGCATCATTGATGTACGATACATGTTGTTTGAAAAATGTAAAAATTATATCAATTATGAAATTGTTTTTCATATACTTATCAACTATCATTTAAAAAAAATCAGTCAGATGAAGATAATTTAGTAAATATATATATTATATGGAAATCAGATTTATATATTTTCAACTGCTGACATTTAGTGTATACTTCATGTCAGTTTTTAAATCATAGATTTTTTAAATTTGATTGGGTGAATATTTTACAGTTTTACACATTTTTTTTATACTGCAATTTAATTTTAATGACACTTGACACAAATAATAATTTTTGGTTTATCTTTTCTGAAGTTTTTATTTATTATATTTTTTACCATATGTTAACAAATATTCAAACACTGAAATTATGAAACAAAAAAATAAATATTTTAAATTTCTTCTATGTATATTTTTATAATTATTCTATAGTGATGATATTTTGGAAATTTTATTTAATAAAAATGAAGAGTTTTTTTAAAATACTATCTATATGAAATTAAAGACTAGTTATAGAATATTAGATTTTTATACAGATAGTTCCATGATTACTTATTTCTTGTTTTTTTAAATTTATTTAAAATAAATAAACTAATACTAAATTTTCTGTTAAAAAACATTTGCTATATATTATAATCTCAGTATTGAAATTTTCAGCCTTCAGTTCGATTGACTCCAGCAACAATTTTATATTCTGGACGAAGTCAAGATAGTAGCCATCTTCTAGTAAGTTGATTATTGTAATTTTTAATAATTTATTGTTTTATAGCTAAATATTTTCAGTTTAGAAGTTTCTCAATTTTAAATTATACAGTGAAAATTCTGTTTCACCTGCAGCTGTTCTACAAATTTCCTTATAAACTTCAGTTAATTATAAAACAATACTCATGTTTTATCATTAACTAATTTTATCAATTATAACATTCAACCAGACTACATATTACATACTATTATCTTAAAAACACTTTTAATAATAAATTTTTCAAACTGGTTGGAAAAAAATATTTAGCTGGTTAATTGAACATCTTGAACCAGATTGAGAAGAATACTGCTTGTTATGTTGTTTTCCTTATAGCATTATAACTAATATTTAAAACCTTTTAAATGACTATTACTCAATGTCTGCTTTTGTTTGGGTAATTATATTTATAATCATTTGTATTGATAATAGTTTTAACCTAGTGACCAAATTCTTACAAACTCGTAACTTTCCCATATTTTATGTATCTGTTTTTGATTTGTTGTTTAGTTATTTTTGCATTATTATTAAATTCAGACCAATTTAGTGTAAATTGGTTGATTTTATACTATCTGGCTATATAGTATTATTTTCAGCCATTTTTAATATTATTGAAATTTACAAATTTCATAATCATTAATTGAAAAAATTTAAATTTTATTTAATATAAAAGAAAAAAAGAATATTCTAGAAAAATGTAAATTCAGAATTTTTATGTATTTATTTAAATGCAGATTAAAAATGTTTGTCCTTGAAATATCTTTGCTTGTTTTGTAATTATCATATTTGAACTTTATAGTTAGTGTTTGTTTATAATGTATAGCTAATGTTCAGAAGTTAAACAAAAGCAATGAATGCTAAACAATTAGTATTTGTTTCACTTTACTTCATTAATTTCAGATTCTGACTTTTTCACTGGGATTGAAAATATAAGAATAAGATTTTGTAGTCATCCAGTTTATAAAAATTTTTTCTATAAATATGAAATAACAGTAGAATTAATTCTAATATTTTTTTTACTGTTTTAAATAATCAAACCAACATTTTAATTTTAAAATAAATACCAGAAGCTAATTAAAATAAGTATATTATAATTATTTAATACTTTCAGAGTATAATTTTTATTTTTAACTTTAGTTTGTAAAAATGTGTTTTTGAAAATCTATAATATTCAGTTTTTTAATATTTTATATATAGTTGATTTTTTGTATTTATGAAATTGATTTGCTGTGTAATCAATACTAAATTACAGTAGTTATCAAAAACATTTGGTAATTAATTAAATAAAAGTTAGTGTTTAATGTAATAGGTTTTAATTTATATTATCATCTATATAATTATATAAGTGTACATATGTACACCTATATAATTATAATTTTGCATATCTAAACTGAAATATTTGTTTGCATTATTTCTTTTACTTGTAGAAGATTATTTGATAAGAGTTTACTCCTAAAATTTATATTTTGAAAAACTTTAAAAGTACAGTAAATATAACTAAAACATTAGCCTAAAATTTGTTATATAGTGGTAATATGCATAAATTTTGAACCAACTGGAGAAATAGACAACACAAAAACTCATACCTTTAAAATCTAACAATGAATTTAATAAAATAATAATGTTTTTGACCAGTTTCACTGACCTTCTTCAGTTACAATAGAACAGAAAAATAGAAGAATGTGAATTCAAAAATTTTAAAAATGCAAGAACAATTGTAAAAGAACAAGAAAGGAAGTTATTTTAAAAATACAAGGAAGTTATTTTAAAAATAACCAAATAAACAACAGCAATCATAGGTGAAATTAATAAAAATAAATAAAGAAATAAAATAAAAAGTAAAAATAAATGAATAAATATCCTTTTAATAAAAATTAAATTTTCTAAATGGACCGCCATGCTGTAGACATCTCTATGGTTGATGAACATGGATTTTTATGAGCTTTATAAATTTCCAATTTTTCTAGATATTCCATAGTGTGTATATTATATGTGGATCTGATGATGATTGCTTGTGCCCAGTTTACTTGTATGTCTTGATGTTGCAAGTAAATTGCCAGTGTTGTATTTTTGAGATTTTTTTTCAATTGTGTACTTATGCTCCTTGAGTCATTGTTATAAATTACACCCAGTGGCACCCACGTAGACTAGTTTTGATTTGAAACATTGATCAATTATTGGGATGGAGTAAATCCCTGCAGTTGAATTATGGTTATATGGTTTCTTATCATTCCTTAGAATTTTGAAGATCGTTGGGTTGCATCGATATACTAATGCAACATTATTAGCTCTGGCTGCTTTCTTATGTATCCTTCTTAAAGGTGGGATATAATTTAAGACAACCCTTCATTTCTGGTTCACCAATGCATGTTGACATTTTAATGTTTGAAAGATTGCAAGCAATTTCTGTATTATTTTCATTAGATAGGCCTGTTTCTCTGCGATTTTTAAGATATGATTCAGCTCCGTTATGGTGTCCCAGATGTTAGTGCAATGGGTATATGCCCTTCTTATCAAGGATCTAAAGCAGGGATGTCCAACCCGCGGCCCACAGGCCGCATGCGGCCCAAGGCAAGTTCCAATGCGGCCCAATAAACGTGTAAACAAAACCGACAAATGTTTTAATTTTTTTATTATTTATTTATTTGAATGGCATAAACTCAAAAAAGAAGTTTCACAAAGCCGTAAACCTTTATTCATATTTTATTTTTGAGTGGAAAGAAAATATTTTCAAATACTTGGAGATGTGTGAATGCGGAAGGATTACTAAATAAAGCTGGAGTTATGACTCAAAAGATTATAGACCCAAATTTCGGAAAAGGAGGGAAAGATGAGAAAGGACAAAAGTTGTAGTAGTGAAAAACATTAAATAGATCTTCTGTTAAGCAAATATGGAGCTGTAATTTTTCAACCTTTTTCACTTCTTTATTTTTTGTCCTTTGCCTCTTTTCCCCCGCACTTGGGTCTATAATCCTTTGATTCACAACTCCAGCTTTATTTAGTATTTCTTCCAACGTTGCAAGATTTGGCTACATTGGGCCAAATGTGGCTACTTTTTTTTGTTTGACGTAAAAAATATCATTTGGCGCTTTGGCTACTTTTTCGGCTACATATTATTTATAATTATATTAATTGAATAAAAATGCACTTTAAAATGGTGTTTCGTCGCTTTTTATTAATTAGAGACCCAAATAAAACAAATATTTGTGTTTTTCAAATAAATTTTCTTTAGTCTCTTTTATAATAAATGAATTTATCTATTTCTAAGTAAAAATTGAAAGTGTCTGTAGAAGTAATTTTTTAAAATATCCTTTTTTCTTGATAAGGTTTTAATACTTATTATTATAATCTAGACATGTTAATTTTTAAATATACTTATATATTGGGCCAGAAGTATATATTATATATACTTGTGGCCCAAAACTCCTTGACTTCTTTCAATGCGGCCCAGAGAAACAAAAAGGTTGGACACCCCTGATCTAAAGGCTGCGAATTTGATGTGCCAGGGATTGACCGAGTTGTATGAAATTAAAATAGGTTGAAAACAAGGTATTCTTTATACCTTGGTCCAAATTTTGCCATATTTACAAGAGATGGAAATGTGGTAATATTTATTTAGACATTTGCACTTCTATCAGTTTAATTGCAACAGGAAAAAAATTTTTATGCTTAGAAATCACAATTTTTCTAATTTATTAATATATAGCAATGAAAATGATAACCAGTCCTAGAAATATTTAATTATCCTTTAAATTATAATAATTATGTATAAATAAATTTAAAAATTGCATCCTAAAGAGTCTTAACATTTTAGATCTGTTATATATGAAAGTATTTTTATAAGATATAAATTAAGGTTACAAACATCTGCAATCACAATGTATCTATATTTTTATTTCATTAATAAATTTTAAAGCTTTTATTTAACAGCATGCATTGATTTAATTAGTTTAAGTATTTAATTTTTTCACTTATTATTTATAAAGAAATTTAGCAATATTATTTTTTTACCTTTTGATGAGTCTTTAATAAAATTCAAATTTCAAGAATATTTTCAGAAATTATTTTTTAGGACAATGACAATCAACTACTTTTTATTGAACCTTAGTGTTCCATAATGAGATGTGAAAATAATAAAAACAAAAATTTCTTAATTTTTCAACAATTTAGTATCTTTTTTTAATTGTTTAATTATAAGAATCTTTATTGCATTGAAATATTTTTTAAAGCATCCTTTATTTTTTAAATTTTATTGTTTAATACTCTGCAAAAGAACTCGGATATAGCAAATTCTAAAGCAGCAAAGTTCTAATACCACAGCTTTGAAACATCATAATAAATGTGAATTTTTGATTTATGATGATTTATTGTTATATAAATATTGTATGTTATCTCCGTGTAATAGAAAATTAATACTTATAGAATTAAAAATCAATCAATAAGCTTTTAGATGCTTTTATATGAGACAATTTACATTGTTTTTCAGATTAAATATAATTAAGAAATTTTTTAAATTAAAAAGCCAAGTAATATTTTAAAGGCTTCATTGATTTTGTAATTTGATTTTCAGTTTATAATATAACAATCCACAATCAATGGTCTANTTAATTGTATTTGCATTAATTTCTATGGGAAAAATTGCTTCGGTTAATGAACGGACTCGTGGAACGGATTACGTTCGTTAACCGGGGTTCCACTGTACTTTGATCACACTAATGCAATTTAGGAAATGTACTTTGTATTTTTAGTGAATATTATCACAGATAAAAACATTTTAGGAAATTGTACCACTAATAAAAATACTGACACACTAATATAATTAACTTCAACAAATGAGAATGATATTCTGAAATACCACAATAAATTCTTATAAAATACTGTGCAGTTTTATTATTAGTTTGGTCTGTTTTTTATTAAACAATTACTAACTTAAGTTAGTGATAGTGATTCGTCAGTAATTCATTTTCTTGACATAATTAAATATGAAACAAATATATCAATTGGTATGTCAATGAAATGCATTATTAAAATGTGACATGTTCAATTTAGTCACATGGAAGATAAAATAGATACATAAATCCATGAACAGAAGATATTTTATTGCATCATTGATGTACGATACATGTTGTTTGAAAAATGTAAAAATTATATCAATTATGAAATTGTTTTTCATATACTTATCAACTATCATTTCGCTCGACGCATGTTGGGAAAGAACGAATTTAAGAAGAAAAGGTCGTCGTTTCGTGTATAACGAAAGGGTTTGTTTCTGGAATGGCTTTAAGTTATTCAATTGTATTACAGTTTTGNTTTATAATTATTCTACAGTGATGATATTTTGGAAATTTTATTTAATAAAAATGAAGAGTTTTTTAAAATACTATCTATATGAAATTAAAGACTAGTTATAGAATATTAGATTTTTATACAGATAGTTCCATGATTACTTATTTCTTGTTTTTTTAAATTTATTTAAAATAAATAAACTAATACTAAATTTTCTGTTAAAAAACATTTGCTATATATTATAATCTCAGTATTGAAATTTCCAGCCTTCAGTTCGATTGACTCCAGCAACAATTTTATATTCTGGACGAAGTCAAGATAGTAGCCATCTTCTAGTAAGTTGATTATTGTAATTTTTAATAATTTATTGTTTTATAGCTAAATATTTTCAGTTTAGAAGTTTCTCAATTTTAAATTATACAGTGAAAATTCTGTTTCACCTGCAGCTGTTCTACAAATTTCCTTATAAACTTCAGTTAATTATAAAACAATACTCATGTTTTATCATTAACTAATTTTATCAATTATAACATTCAACCAGACTACATATTACATACTATTATCTTAAAAACACTTTTAATAATAAATTTTTCAAACTGGTTGGAAAAAAATATTTAGCTGGTTAATTGAACATCTTGAACCAGATTGAGAAGAATACTGCTTGTTATGTTGTTTTCCTTATAGCATTATAACTAATATTTAAAACCTTTTAAATGACTATTACTCAATGTCTGCTTTTGTTTGGGTTATTATATTTATAATCATTTGTATTGATAATAGTTTTAACCTAGTGACCAAATTCTTACAAACTCGTAACTTTCCCATATTTTATGTATCTGTTTTTGATTTGTTGTTTAGTTATTTTTGCATTATTATTAAATTCAGACCAATTTAGTGTAAATTGGTTGATTTTATACTATCTGGCTATATAGTATTATTTTCAGCCATTTTTAATATTATTGAAATTTACAAATTTCATAATCATTAATTGAAAAAATTTAAATTTTATTTAATATAAAAGAAAAAAAGAATATTCTAGAAAAATGTAAATTCAGAATTTTTATGTATTTATTTAAATGCAGATTAAAAATGTTTGTCCTTGAAATATCTTTGCTTGTTTTGTAATTATCATATTTGAACTTTATAGTTAGTGTTTGTTTATAATGTATAGTTAATGTTCAGAAGTTAAACAAAAGCAATGAATGCTAAACAATTAGTATTTGTTTCACTTTACTTCATTAATTTCAGATTCTGACTTTTTCACTGGGATTGAAAATATAAGAATAAGATTTTGTAGTCATCCAGTTTATAAAAATTTTTTCTATAAATATGAAATAACAGTAGAATTAATTCTAATATTTTTTTTACTGTTTTAAATAATCAAACCAACATTTTAATTTTAAAATAAATACCAGAAGCTAATTAAAATAAGTATATTATAATTATTTAATACTTTCAGAGTATAATTTTTATTTTTAACTTTAGTTTGTAAAAATGTTTTTTTGAAAATCTATAATATTCAGTTTTTTAATATTTTATATATAGTTGATTTTTTGTATTTATGAAATTGATTTGCTGTGTAATGAATACTAAATTACAGTAGTTATCAAAAACATTTGGTAATTAATTAAATAAAAGTTAGTGTTTAATGTAATAGGTTTTAATTTATATTATCATCTATATAATTATATAAGTGTACATATGTACACCTATATAATTATAATTTTGCATATCTAAACTGAAATATTTGTTTGCATTATTTCTTTTACTTGTAGAAGATTATTTGATAAGAGTTTACTCCTAAAATTTATATTTTGAAAAACTTTAAAAGTACAGTAAATATAACTAAAACATTAGCCTAAAATTTGTTATATAGTGGTAATATGCATAAATTTTGAACCAACTGGAGAAATAGACAACACAAAAACTCATACCTTTAAAATCTAACAATGAATTTAATAAAATAATAATGTTTTTGACCAGTTTCACTGACCTTCTTCAGTTACAATAGAACAGAAAAATAGAAGAATGTGAATTCAAAAATTTTAAAAATGCAAGAACAATTGTAAAAGAACAAGAAAGGAAGTTATTTTAAAAATACAAGGAAGTTATTTTAAAAATAACCAAATAAACAACAGCAATCATAGGTGAAATTAATAAAAATAAATAAAGAAATAAAATAAAAAGTAAAAATAAATGAATAAATATCCTTTTAATAAAAATTAAATTTTCTAAATGGACCGCCATGCTGTAGACATCTCTATGGTTGATGAACATGGATTTTTATGAGCTTTATAAATTTCCAATTTTTCTAGATATTCCATAGTGTGTATATTATATGTGGATCTGATGATGATTGCTTGTGCCCAGTTTACTTGTATGTCTTGATGTTGCAAGTAAATTGCCAGTGTTGTATTTTTGAGATTTTTTTTCAATTGTGTACTTATGCTCCTTGAGTCATTGTTATAAATTACACCCAGTGGCACCCACGTAGACTAGTTTTGATTTGAAACATTGATCAATTATTGGGATGGAGTAAATCCCTGCAGTTGAATTATGGTTATATGGTTTCTTATCATTCCTTAGAATTTTGAAGATCGTTGGGTTGCATCGATATACTAATGCAACATTATTAGCTCTGGCTGCTTTCTTATGTATCCTTCTTAAAGGTGGGATATAATTTAAGACAACCCTTCATTTCTGGTTCACCAATGCATGTTGACATTTTAATGTTTGAAAGATTGCAAGCAATTTCTGTATTATTTTCATTAGATAGGCCTGTTTCTCTGCGATTTTTAAGATATGATTCAGCTCCGTTATGGTGTCCCAGATGTTAGTGCAATGGGTATATGCCCTTCTTATCAAGGATCTAAAGCAGGGATGTCCAACCCGCGGCCCACAGGCCGCATGCGGCCCAAGGCAAGTTCCAATGCGGCCCAATAAACGTGTAAACAAAACCGACAAATGTTTTAATTTTTTTATTATTTATTTATTTGAATGGCATAAACTCAAAAAAGAAGTTTCACAAAGCCGTAAACCTTTATTCATATTTTATTTTTGAGTGGAAAGAAAATATTTTCAAATACTTGGAGATGTGTGAATGCGGAAGGATTACTAAATAAAGCTGGAGTTATGACTCAAAAGATTATAGACCCAAATTTCGGAAAAGGAGGGAAAGATGAGAAAGGACAAAAGTTGTAGTAGTGAAAAACATTAAATAGATCTTCTGTTAAGCAAATATGGAGCTGTAATTTTTCAACCTTTTTCACTTCTTTATTTTTTGTCCTTTGCCTTTTTTCCCCTGCACTTGGGTCTATAATCCTTTGATTCACAACTCCAGCTTTATTTAGTATTTCTTCCAACGTTGCAAGATTTGGCTACATTGCGCCAAATGNAGTGAATGAACAGGATCAATGGGAAGTGAGTCACTTTGTTTACTTTTAAATACTGTACATAACAAATTAACACAAAAGTAATTTCTACTCCCTTTCATTGAAGACTAATCTCATCTTTTCTTTCTAATTTCTTCTTTTCTAATCTCTTTTTTTAATTTCTTCTAATCTCTAAAACTTTTAATTTTGTTTGTTGTGTCCTGTTATAAACCCAGCGTACTGGGGTTACGTAAAAATCGGGTAAGCGGTGTAAAAAAGTTTGTTGCAGCCCGGCCATGGGTTAATATAGTCCTGGCTTTAAGGCTGTGTTTATGAGGACACGAGAATTGCAAAAGAAGAGAAAAACAGGAGGGCGGGAAAAACCAAGCGAACCAAGGTTACACGCCTACAGGAATAATCTTGTTATTCCTGTATTGTGTTCATGCAAAAACTGAAAAGTCCGGTGAATTTTATGCTATATCCTTCTGCCACATTTTCACGTTCTGGCACCATGTACGATTGAATTACGGAATCGCGTATCTGTATTTTTTGCAGCTTTCCGGGCCACTTTCTTTACGATAGAAAACAACCAAAAAGAGAAGGCATAAATAAAAGGAAGAAAATGTTATTAGAGTAATTTCGTTTATTTTTTTTAACTTTATTACATCGTAAAATTCATTGGAGTTTTTTCGATCTTTGATTTTGCTTGGTTTTCCCTCTCCTTCTGTTTTTCGCTCTCTTCTTGCATTTCTCTCGTCTGCATAAACGCAACCTAAGGCCCATTTTGATTATTATTGCAATTATTGCATCAAATTTTGTACTAATCTTATTATTGCAAGATGACTCCCGTAATTGATATTTGAAATCACTAAACTTTGTGAACTTGGAATCACTAAATTCCCTACATAACTTTCGTGGTATCTTGGACAGAATATGTGGGGCGTAATCGCTCATTATCTGTAATATAAATAAATATCTGACATCCTTAACAGAAGAAAATTTAGGCGCTCCTATCCACGTGTATAGGCTATGTAAACGAGCAATTTTTAATCATATTTTTAATTTATTTAATTTAAAATACAGTACATTCTCTCCACCTCAAATTAGTAGTCGCCCCTGTACATCATACTTTTCCTTTGTCAATAGAGTCGTGCCAGTCATCTGTCTAACATCTTTCAGGGAAACATTTTTGAATTAGTATAACGTGACTTCCGATTTTCAACGGAAATTTTTATATAGTTAATTTGTGTCTTCTTCTCTCAAGGTTTTCAAGTCTGGTATCGTCTTTCATCTATCTCACTTTATTCTTGAGATTAAGGAATGACAGACGGACGGACAGACAACAGTGGAAATTTATAGGTCTACAGTTTTCTTTAAATTGAGTATGACAATTGCAGCCCAATTGTCATACTCACACAAACACCCTCACGTGTGGATATTTATAAAAAGAATATCATTATGAACAGTTAAAATTTATTTTTGTTAATTAACACTAATATATTTATATACATATTGCGGAAGGTCTTTTAAGGGAAATTAGTCCCTATTTAGTCATTAAAGACGTGAAGAAAACCCAGAAAACTTTGACCAGTCCAGCCTAGTAAAACACGAACCCACTGCCGAACTACCAGTGTTCAGGGAACAGAACCACTTGGCCACTGGTGAGGCCAGACGCAAAATGGGATGACCAGAGCCCAACGTATACGGGGATCTGATGTCCTCAAAAATTCCTGGGGTTTTTCGACTTATCCGGATTCAATTCCGGACCCCACAGAACTCTGTTGTCACCATAACCGCAGACCATCCAACTGTCCACACATAGCGTTCAGTGAATATATCTGAATTAAGATTACTTCAAATTTTTAATTCGGTCTTCCGCGAATGTTGACAACCAATATAAATTACTTATCTTGGTTTCAAACGTTTTAATTAATACAAGGCGTTCTCATTAGAGGTAGTGTATG